TATAGAGTAATAGTATACTTATAGAGTAATAGTATACTTATAGAGTAATAGTATACTATATATATAGAGTAGTAGTATATTTATAGAGTAATAATATACTTTATAATAGAGTAATAGAGTATTTATATATATTAATGGTAATAAATTATCGATAAGATAAGAAAATGAACTAATAGTATAGAGAGAGTATAAGAGAGTATAGATATACTAGAGGAAGAGGAAGATAAGTAGGTAGATAATAAGATTCTCTATCCCTAAGGGGTAAGACCTAAATATAGTATAGAATATATTATCTATAAATTTGGTCTAAGTTATAAATAGATTTATTAATATATAATACTAACTCTATATTAGACAATTAAGACTATCTTAATACTTAAGGATAAGCGCTCTAGAGAGCGAGAGTAATTATTAGGAATCTCTTAGGATCTCTCTATAAATTGGATAAATAAGCTAAGCTAGATAAAGAAAAGATAATATATCTATTATAGATAAGAAATGTATAGAGAGTATACTCTTCTTAAAGTCTCTTTAAGACTTTAAGTCTCTATATAAGAGCTAAAGCTACTAATACTAGATATTATTACTTCTATTGACCTATCTATCTATTAGTAATACCTTATAATAACTTACTAAGTCTTCTCTTAGATCTATTAGGCGATTTTAGGAAATACTCAGAAAGTATACTCTATTTCTACTTATTATAGACTAGGAGTAATCTAGAAGTTAACTCTCCTAATAATCTAGATAATCTATTAATTAATTATCTAAGTTCTTTTCTAGTACTATACTAAAGAAAGAAGTAGAACTCAAGTTCTTTAACTTTTCTATACTAGCTAATTAGAAGTTAAGATTATAATCCTATATAATATATAACTTAATTCCTTTATATTATTAGATTTATAACTCTCTAACTTAGCTTCTCCTATTATACTATAAATCTTACTTTATTATTATTAATTTCTATATCATATTGTCAGAGCCGCTCCTTTAAACCTAAGCGGGTTAGATTCCTCAGTCATAGTTCCTTAGTAAGCTTGAGCTAGGTAAAGAAGGTATAAGGTATAAGTAGTCTAATAACTAAGACGGTGAAGTAGTTAATATATAAATTAGCTACGAAGAGAGTATAAGCTACCTAGGGATAACGAGCGTAACTATATAGTTATAAGGGCTTCCTAAATAGGTAACGGGAATAGTATATTAATATATTAATATATTAATATAGTGATACACTAGTATATTACCATATCGGACACTTCCCTTTTTAGTCGTCACGTATCCTCCGCCTCAGCCTTATACCCTAGACGCTAGACTATGCTCCTCTTGAGTGACTTTCCCTAGGTTATCCCGCCCGAGGTCGTATAAAAGGCCTATTCCTAACACTATCTCCTTCCTAACCTATTCGTTATCCTTAACGTACTTAAGGTAGGTCGCGCCTATCCTTCTCTCTTCTTTCCTTCTTCCTTATGACTAACTATATAGGCTTTCCGTATCATTAAAACTCGCCGTTCCTCTAAACTTATAAAGACTTAAAGTGAGCGTCGTATCGAACTCGTAGACTCTATCGCTTCCGATCTTGATAATCTCGTAATAGTGGCCTATATCGAATACGTTAACTACGAGGTAGTTTATTACTATAACCGAGAGTAATCTTTATCGTATACCGAGTATCTACGGAGATAGCGAAAGTATAACGGTACTTTCTCGATAGAGGAATTCCGAAAAGTAGAGGAATAAAAGAAATAACTAGTCTCTAAATCCCGACTAAAACGTAGGGAGATCTCAAAGCTACGAAAGGCCTTAATTAATATATAGACGGCGCTAGTTTCCGCGGAGGAGGAGGAGTTAAATCTCTAGGATTCTCTAGCCCGATTAGAGGAGACTTCGATAAATATACTACGTTATAAGATATAGACGCTAGGGGTTTTTGATAATCTTCCTTCGTCCGAGGAGATAGCTCTTATAAAGTCTAACTTTATCTAGTCCGAAGCCCCGGTCGTCGAGTAGATCGACTAGGACGTGGTACTAGCTAACGAAACCACTCGGGGTATCGCTCTTAGGTTTTCCCCAGAACCTCCTTCGAAAGGTGAGCTTCCGGTTCCTAACTGTTTTCGGACTCGTCGTAACCTAACTACTTAATTAGATAGTGAGGAGTGCCACGTATAATTCGTTTTTATAGCACTTTCTCTACGTCGTACTCTTCTAGTGCGACTTCTTCGTCTAAAGGTATTAATCTAACTAGCTTAGCGTTTTTTAGTACTAGTTCTAGGAGCGAAATATAAAAGATATTATAGATTCTTATATCTTTAGGTAGCTCTAACTAGTAGTTAACGTTTTCTAGTTTCTTCTTAACTTTAAACGATCCTAGTTTTATATAATCTAGTTTCGCGTTTAGTCGTTTTATTTTAACGTTTTTTCGTAAGAGATATACGGGGTCCCTCTCTCGTAGAGGCGGTCCCTCGACCCTTTTCTTATTATCGTACTTAGCTATTCTATCGGCGATAAATTTAAGATCCTCCGTGAGCTTACGGTATAACTCCTTAACAGTTAGCGCTTTATTTAACGCTCTAGGGTTAGTGCTACCTTTAAGTGCTTCTTCTAGCCTTAGATAAAATCTATAGTTGACGTAGAACAAACTTATCCCTATTACTAATTTATAGTTATTAAAGTAAAACTAGATAACTAGTAGTAGTAAAACCTAGTTTATTTATCCATAGTCTATATATATCCTTAGGTACTATTCTAGGGTCTAGTTAGTTCTCTCTATTTAACCGTCTATTTATAGGTAGAATAATATAGATAACTTATATTTTGTAGATAGTAACTTTATAAGTTCCTTCTAGAACTTAGACGTGAAGAGCTTATCTCTATCCGTAATAACTTCCTTCGGTATTCCGTAGTTTACGAATATAGTTCGTAGGAACTCGTAAGT